ACTCTCCTTAGTTTAAAGTCAGATACTTCTAACCTGTCAGCTCTGAAGAAAATGAGTAGAGAATTGCCATATTGTGTAATTTAAAGACTTCTGACGTCATCAGATTAAAGGGAAGGATGGTTTGATTATTGCATAATGCCCTTTGAAGGCCTCAACAAGGTAAGACAAACTCCAAGGAAAAATTTACACAACCACACAGGCACACCCAAGCAAAACTACAACAGATTTCCACCTGAGAAGTCAAGAAAGTACTACCTTGCCCCAAACCAGCCAGACTCCGATTACCACAAGGATGGATAGTTACCCATGGCGAAGAAAGGGATTCCCAGCAGGGTGGAGTTGTACTTCCCATCAGTGATGAAGAAGATCCCGGCGGCAGTGGCGATGGAAATGCATACCGTGAGCACCCCCAGGAGGCCCAGGAAGGGCTTACTGCGCAAGCAGTCCTTCATGGAGCTGGACAGGGTGGCTGTGGTCAGGATCAACACAAGGCTCACCAGGACCTTGCTTCTGGCCAGGATGCTGGTCTTATGAAAGTCTCTCCAGAGGCTAAAAGATGCCAGAGAGTACAGTTGGAGGTCTTGGTGCTCCTCCTGGAGCTTCCTCATAAGCTTACAGAACTCATTCTCCCACTTCTCCCCTATGAGGTCTTGAGTGGCAGAACCATAGGTCTGGAGGTAGTAGGTGATTTGAATGGCTCTGGCTGACTTGACCCGCTGGTCTTTGCTGTTTGGCACTTCCACTACCCCGCCCAGCTGGTGTCCAATAAAACTGTTCCTCCCATCCTTGAAAACAGAAAGAGGGGAGACTTCAGTTACCAGAAGGATGCACATTCCAAGGAACAGTTTCTTAGTCTAAGTGAAGAAGCACAAGGAAGGCAAAGAGAGGTACTGGTGATTGTGGAATTGATGTGGGTGGAGAGGAGAGTCAGGATTTTGTTCTTAACCTTTTGGAGCTGTGTGGGAAACCCTGCGGGACTAATAGGAATAGAGACGATGGAGCCGGTGTCACAAAAGCTACACCAGACTTGCCTTACTCCTTACATTGCTTCAGTAGCAATCTAGTCAAATTTCTTAAGAGCAGATCAAGTTTATGATTTATGTTTAGCTGTAAGTAGAGCATGGCATGAGGCTCACCCTCGACCATGCTGAGGACATGGAGTACATTTTCCTTCAATGAGATACTACACCTTTCCTCCCAGAATTCCTGGCCCCAGCCCTGTCCTGGCGAGCCACCATGAAGTTCCACTGGTCTACAACCCTCCTGTGGTGTGGGTCAGAAAGGCATTCTCTTTTCTGCCTCTTCCTTTCAGACATTGGTCAGAATGTAAATAAGCTTTCTCCCCCCACCCCCCATGATACTTTGGGTTTTCTCACTTTCTCTAAAGCCTCATCCCCTGTCATGTATCTGTCCTATATGCTTCATTGGCATTTTTTTCTTCCTTTTTTCTTCTCGTCTCCTCTATAAGTTTCCAATATTTAGTTTGTCATGGGTGTTTTCCTTTTAAATTGTAAGAAAACTGTCTTTGAGCTTCAAAAGTTAAAAAATAATCATACAGTATATAAATATGCTAAGCTTTCCAGAATCAATATAGGCACCACATGAAGACAAGAACAGTCTTACTTCCTTACATTAGTGAAGTTATATGAACAGCTGAAAATAGGATAAATACCTTTCTCAAAGCTAGTGTGGTATTGAAACACTTTCACATGTGATACCAGCACTTGCTGGGTCTATACAATCTTCCCCCCAACACACAAATCTGTCTCAAACTTATCTTCTGCTATAAATAAATTCCCAAAGAAGGCTGAGAAGATTCTCAGGTAGTGTCACCAAATGGTGGTCTAGCTTCCATGTTGGGCTTGAGGAAGTATGGACAAGATCATCGTCCTAGGAATTGGGTAAACAAAGCAGTCATTCCTCCTTAAAGCACACTTAGATGGATATAGAATTGCCAGTTATTCTAATCCAATGAGGGTGCTCCCTGACAACCACCGCAAAATTTTAATCTAATTGGAAATTTTATTTTTGTCACAGTTGTCCCCACACTTTAATGGTAATGGTTCATAGAACATTGAGCTCAACAGCAGGCTTCAGGATGATTTACAGGGCTGAAAATACACTGTTGATATTGGATGAGATGGCACCCAACAGTGCACAAAAGAAAGTTTATGTTCCAAGTAGTTTGTATGTGAATGGCGTTGGGAAAGATAGTCTCACAAAGGTATAATAGAGTTAATTCCTAGCAAGAAACAGTTCTCTCTAGAGACCAGTAGGCAAGGGCAACATAATACTGACCAGTGTGCTGACCATAGGTGTTTACATGGAACTACTAGGCATCTAGCTAGCACTTGAGATAATTATCCTGGATTTGTTTAATCCAGACACCAAAATGTGAGGCACTTATTTGCATTTTGCTTTTAACATGCACAAAAGTAACCCTTATGTTTTAGCATATATTGCAAACACAAAAAGTTGGAGATGTTCAGAGAATACAAGTTCAACTTGGAGAATGATCAGACATTGAAAAATACACAGTCACTCTGTGTACCTACATGTTAAATAGTTACAACCATCTTAAGAAACCAAACCACTGGACAGTGGTGGCACCTGCCTGTAATCCCAGCACTCAGGAAGCAGGGGCAGGTGAATGTTTATGAGTTTGAGGCCAGCCTGGCTTACAGAGCCAGTTCTAGGACAGCCAGGGCTACGAAGAGAAACCCTGCCTTGAAAAACTACAAAAAAAGAAAAAAGAAAGAAAGGAAGGAAGGAGGAAGGAGGGAGGGAGGGAGGGAGGGAGGAAGGAAGAAGGGAGAAAGGAAGGAAGGAAGAAGGGAGGAAGGAAGGAAGGAAGGAAGGGAGGGAGGGAGGGAGGAAGGAAGGAAGGAAGGAAGGAAGGAAGGAAGGAAGGAAGGAAAGAAGGGAGGGAGGGAGGAAGGAAGGAAGGGAGGGAGGGAGGAAGGAAGGAAGGAAGGAAGGAAGGAAAGAAGGGAGGAAGCTAAACTTGACCAAACCCAAATGAACAAGTTATTTCTTAACAACAATTCTCTTTGTGGGTTCTCCCTTGGTGTATCAACTGCTGCCATGGGATCTTTGTAATGTTACTATTTCTTTTCTTTATAAAAACTCAACTGGGTCTGGAGAGATGGCTCAGTGGTTAAAAGCCCTGGATGCTCTTCCAGAAGACTCTGGTTCAATGTCCAGAACCCAGAAGGTAGCATATGATCATCTGTAACCCCAGTTCCAAGAGATCTGACTCTTCTTCTTGTCTCCATGGGCATATGACACTCACTTGGTGCACAGAACTACATGCAGGCAAAACACCCATATGCATAAAATAAAAAATTAAGTAAAAAGCATCAAACTGAAGGTTTGGCTGTAAGTTTCCTTGTTTAAACCCATTGGATCTTGCAAAGAGGGTTGGCAAGCTTGGAGAAAAGAGATGTGAATCATGCCTCAGAACTGAGTGACTGTGGATATAGTTTGTGTTTGCTCACTATACCAAAATTGCTCACTTATTTGGTGTATTTTTACCTAAAAACTGGCACAATGTTTTGGTTCAATTTTCTTTCTATGGCTTTGAAATTCTGTCTTTATTTAAATGTGTGTGTCTGATCATCTGAGAAAGCAATATCCCCATATCCCTAAAGCTCTGTTTCTTTTTAAGAATATCTTGCTTTGTCTTAGCTCATTTCTGTCATTAAAAAGACCTCTGGGGAACTTTAGCAGCAGTGCAGAGAGTTATGTGTCCCTCAGGTCTCACTTGGAGATTACAGTAGACAAGGAAGGCACTGATTGTATGTCTGGACAAAAGTCAAAATTTTAAAGATGTATAGATTTTTAAATAGTCAAGCTTTATTGAGTTTGACCAACTGCCAACCTTTCTTTTGAAGTAGTACAATTTTCATTTTTTAATAAAAATGCCTTATAAGAGATACACCTTTGGTATATCTTCCCTTGTTATATTTAAATAATAAGAATGAATTGCTGGTCTATGTTTAAAGCTATGCACCTGTACAATATAAATGAGGTGTTTTGATATCCTGGATCAAAATTCCATTGGATGATTACAACATGTATATGCAGTTGGCTCAACCAACCTACCCATTACAGTTTTCAGAAACCCAATCATATACATTATGGGCATGAGACCATTCTACTTTTGGATAAGAGTAGCAAAGAGTTCCTCTTCTCAAGCTAATCAATCATTAAATACTTCTAAGTAGGAGGTACTAAGAATGAATGCAGCAAACATTCTATTTCTTGTGGTGAACTTCCTTGGAGTCACAGTACATTCAGTCAGGTCAATGAAATGAAGACAATGTGACTTGAGTTGTACCGTGGAACTCATTCTATTTGGGGGAAATTTCTATGTAGTTCATTGCTTGTGTCTTCTTCAGTTGTCTTAACTTAGGAGGAGGAGATAGGAGTATATGAAGTGGTGATTATAGGATATAGAAGTAAGTTTTTGGCTTTCTTACTCTATGAAAAAGCTACCTATACAAAGAGTTTGAAGAGATGTGGATGTCAGAAATGCTGTTCATACAAATCATAGGCACAACTTTTATTTGTTAGGTGAGTGAACCTAGATGTTTAGAAAACACATACCTATTAGTTCCTACTCACATCTTCTGACACCAACTCCAATCCTTTCTAGACCTTCATGATGCCAGAGCAGAGAAACCACTTTGACTCATGTATCAAAACTTTATTTTACCTGTGCATTCCCCTTTCCAGTTTCTTTCTCTTTATCTAAGGCAGCCTGTCAGATAAAGTGTTGCCTGTAATTTGACTCAATCTCTTCATTTCTCATAGTAACTTATCCCACAAATTTTGAAATTTCTCTGAATATAGAAGTCTTGTGTTACCATAAAGGTATGTGTTAATTTTTTTTTTAATGGCAGCATGGTAGCATGCTGACTTCAGTGTTGCTTTATTTCAGTGCTGGACTGAGCTCAGTTGTTATGTCAACAACACAAGATGACTTCAGGTCTCTGGTTGTATCATGGTCTGATTCTGCTGTTCCCCAAGGTACTCTCTACGTCATAGGCAGAGCCTACTCAGTCAATTGGAAATGAGAGAGACCACATCATCTCTCTACCTGATCCTTCCACTGATTTGCACTTGCACTAGGCCTGCCACAGGAGCCCTTTATCAGGCCTGCAGAGCGATGATGATGCATGGTCACAGCTAGAGATGTCTTTTGACCCTGCCTGATGTTCTCCTGTCTCACTGGCCCCTTCTCCTCCTCCCCCTGTTCATCTTCCTCCTTGAGCACATCAAGTTAATTTCCACCTCCAGGTCTGTGTCTGGTGTTCCCTTTGCTTTGAATATTTCTCCATATTCTTCTTAAATCCAAGACCACTTCCTGCTATGGATGTCTTAGCTTAAAACAACAACAACAACAACAACAACAACAACAACAACAACCTATTTAAATTATAATCTAAACTGGACACCCTGTTTTGTGAAGTCAGGCCATTGCATTGCCCTATTTTATGAACTTCCTGCTAATGATCTCTACCTGAGAAAATTGTGCATAGTCATTCAATTGCTCCTTTTCTGTCCCTTCAGTTAGAGTACACACTAGCTGAGAGCCGTGACCTTTCCGGGTTTGCTTACTAATAACTTCCCCAGAGCCTTAAACAAGCCCATTCTCTGCATAACCTTTGCTAACTGAGTGAACTCACCTTTAGGTGTAAATTACTAACCACATTATATTGTAGAGACAGTTTTTGCTAAAATTGGGTAATTTGAAACATTCTCCCTTTTTCAATCTCTTTAG